AAGAAGAAGAAGAAGAAGAAGAAGAAGAAGAAGAAGAAGAAGAAGAAGAAGAAGAAGAAGAAGAAGAAGAAGAAGAAGAAGAAGAAGAAATAACTTCCTCCTACTGAGCATATAGCCTCCCAAAATGAAATCAATATGCAGATGAAACATTTCATTCCCTAGAATATTTATATCTAATAGAAGTGTCCATCGATATGCATAGGTAAACGAAATTTGGCACATATACACAAAAGAATACTATTCAACCACTAAAGAGAACGAAATCTTGTAACTTGCAACAATATGGATGGAACTAGAGATCATTAAGTTAATTGGAATAAGCCAGGAACAGGAAGACAAGTGCCGCCAATCACATCCATATGTGAAATACAAAAAGTTGATCTCAGAGAGGTTGAAAGCAAAATGGTAATTATCAGTTAGCAGGAGGATGGGGAAAGGTTGCTCAATGGATATGAAATTGTAACAGGATGACTATACATAACAATAATGTACTGTATATTTCAAAAAAACTGAAGAAACTATAGTGTTTTGACCATAAATTAATTTGAGAAAATAGATTAACCTGATTTAAACATAGAACAGAAACAACAGTGAGCCTCAGTGAGCCTCAGGAGCTATGGTGCACCTCCTGGGAGGGGAATATACTCCTTACTCATGGATAGGAAGAGCCAATACTGTGAAAATGGCCATACTCCCAAAATTGTGATACAGATTCAAAGCATCCTGATCAAAGTGCCATTAGTATGCCTCACAAATCTAGAGAAAACATTCCTAAAATTCTCCTGAAACCACAAGAAACCTAGAAGAGCAAAAGCAATCCTGGGCAACAAAAGAAAGGCAGGAGGCATCACAATCCCTGACCTGAAATTATACTACAAAGCTACTGTGATAAAATCAGCATAGTGCTGGCAAAAATGAAACCAAACCTGAAGATCAGTGGAACAGATTAGAGGATGCAGACACAACTACAAATACACTCAACCACCTCAACTTCAACAAAGGGGTCAAACACGTTCAGTGGAAGAAAGATAGCCTCTTTAATAAATGGTGCTGGAAAAACTGGCTCACCACATGCCAAAGGCTATAATTAGACCCGTGTCTTCCACCATGTACTAAACCACAGTCAAAATGGATCAAAGATCTAAATATTAAAAGAGAAACACTCAACCTACTGGAAAAGAAAGTAGGTAGAAATCTTGAAAACATAGGGGTAGGTAAAGAGTTTATGAATACAAACCAAACTGTACAGGAAACACTTCAAAGAATCAACAACCCAGATCTTATCTTTTTCAAAAGTTTTTGCACATCAAAAGAAATCATCAGGCGCTGGGGAGATGGCTCAGTGGAATAAGCACTTCCCTGGCAAGCGCAAGGGCCTGAGTTCAATCCCTAGTTCAGCAAAAAAAAAAAAAAAAAGGATAGTTAAAAAAAAAAGAAAGAAATCATCGGCCCACTCAAAAGAAAACCCACGAATTGGAAAAAAGTTATACCAGACTATCCTGCAAAGGACTGGTATCTAGAACATATCAAGAATTCAAGGTGGGAGCAAAGATGGAAGACTACCAGGGCTCGGAGGAGACTGCTTTTGTTGTTGATGAAGTGAGCAACATTGTAAAAGAGGCCATAGGGAGCGCCATTGGAGGCAATGCTTACCAGCACAGCAAAGTCAATCAGTGGACCACCAACGTAGTGGAGCAGACTCTAAGCCAGCTCACCAAGCTGGGGAAGCCATTTAAGTACATTGTGACATGTGTAATTATGCAGAAGAACGGAGCTGGATTACACACAGCGAGTTCCTGCTTCTGGGACAGCAATACGGATGGGAGCTGCACCGTGCGATGGGAGAACAAGACCGTGTACTGCATCGTCAGCACCTTCGGGCTGTCCATCTGACCTCTGGAGCAAGCCTGTGACCTCGTCTTCTCAGCATTTCTGTCCCATCTTCTAACCACCAACCATGAATTCAGTGACACCTTCTTCCTCTATTATGTTTTGTGGCACTCTCAAAATGTAAAGGAATAAACCAAATGACTGCTGTGCGTGAGCCACACAATCTTAGTCTCTGTGGGTAGCTCTGGAGCCTGTATGGCCACCTGTCTTAACTCTGTGTTTCTTTTCCAAGGTGCTAAAAACTGAATTCTGCAAGTGGGAAATGCTATTCTTTGAAATGATTAATTTTCCATACTTTATACTTTTGTTAGAATAAATTATTTAAATTTTTAAAAAAAAAGAATTCAAAATATCAGGACCCCAAAATTCAAAGACCCAATTAAAAAAAATGGGCATATGAGATGAATACAAAGTTCTCAGATGAAAAAACACAAATGGCAAATAAATATATGATAAAATGTTCAACATCACTGGTCATTCAAGAAATGCAAATCAAAGCAAAACTGAGATTCCATCTCACTCCAGAAAGAATGACTACCATCAAGAAGTCAACTGGTAACAAATGCTGGAGGGGCTGTGGGGAAAACCGAATGCTTCTCCACTGTTGCTGGGAGGGTAGACTGGTACAACCGCAGTATAAATCATTGTGGTAATTCCTCAGAAAAATAGGATTAGAGATCCCATTCAACCCAGCCATTCCCCTTATGGGTACTTATGGTACTAGAAGAACTGAAAACAACGTACCACTGTGGTACTTGTACTGTAACATCATATAACTCAGTAGTGTACCACAGTGATATATATGCACCTATGTTTATAGCAGCACAATTTGTCATAGCTAAATCTTGGAAACAATGTAAATGCCCATCAACTGAAGAATGGATTAAAAAGATGTAGTATTTTTATACAATGGAGCATTACTCAGCTATGAAGAAAAACTCAAGGCTTTTATAGGCAAATAGATGCAACTAGAGACCATACTCATAAGTGAAATGAATCAGACAATACAGTGTGCAAACATTGTACTGTCTCCTAGTGTAAGAAACTGAAAGAGTTAATAAAAATCTGAAAGGTATAATAGAAAAATTGTGAAAGGGAAAGAAACTGCTCAAAAGGAAATAATAACTGGGATGAGGGAAAGGAGAAAAGAGAGTGAAGGAAGGGGGAAAAAATATATGTATATATATATGATACCTAAGATAATTATACTACTAATTTCTATCGGTCTACTGAAAGAAACAGTTAACGCTTAATTGTTTGATCAATTTTGCATGCCTATTCTGGTAATCTGAACAACTACTCTGAGGATAATAATATGCCATATAACAACTATTGTCAATTTCCTATCATTTTGTTTTATAATTCTGTATTTTTAGTGTTTTTTTATTTTTTATTCTCTTTAAAATTAAAAAACGTTACATAATATATACACATACCAAAACATCACTTGGTACCTACCATTAATATGTACAGCATTTATGCTATTATGTATCACTAAAAATTAATTTGATTTTTTTAAAAATTTAAAGATACAGGAAACTGACAAGCCAAACATATTATAAATTACTACAAGGAGAACATTCTCTTCACTCCATTCAGCTATGGAAGCAGAACTTGCCTCCCACACCACCAATCCCTCTATTTACTGTTCCAGGTTTAAGCCTCCTACATTTCATTCTAATCATTTTCTTAGCTGCTTTGTCTTTTTTTTTTTTTTTTTTTTTTTTTTTCTGTATTTTAGGGAAGGGCCTACAGGGTGTTCACGGTCTTACTACTAGATAGGACTCGTAGTGATCCGCCTGTTTACAGCCTTCCAAGAGCTGGGATTACAGGCTTTTGCCACCACATGGTCTCAATCACCATCTCAGTGCACCCCGGGGTGGGGCCTGCACAGCAGGCTGGGTGATCCAACCCCAGGCCCCTGCACCTGCTTGCACATGCTTTAATCCGCTGAGCTATTTGGCCAGCCCCCTGCTTTATCATTTTGTTACCCAAATATGCATCCCTAGACATTATAGCTCACTATCGATAACTTTATGTTTTAAGAGGTTTAAATGGGCCTGCCAAATGGGATTTTAGCAGCATTTCTCAGCAGAGCATAAGTGGGCCAAAAGGAGAGTATTCTGGGCATTCCAGAAGATTACACTTGTTCCATTGACCCCAAAACTCCTCAAGAATGAGAAGTGAAGACCAGGCGTGGTGGTGCATGCCTGTGATCCCAGTGCTAGGGAGGCTGAGGCAGGAGGATCCCTATGAGTCTGACTGCATAGCAAGACCCTGTACCAAATACACTTTTTTAAAAAGAAAGAAGTGAAAAAAAGAGGGGACTTGTTAGCCTGCCCTCACTTTGTACTCTACAGCGACCTATCCTACCTTAATCTTGCTTACCTTTGAGGACAGGATGCCTGAAGGCCTGAAGGCCCTATTCCAGTGAGCTAGCCCAAGCCAGCTAGATCTAAAACAGCTGCCAACGTTACCATGAGACAGCCTCTAACTTCTTGATAATCCATCTGCATACTACAGCGCACACACACACACACACACACACACACACACAACCAACACCAGCACCACAACAGTTCACAACTCCCATGAGGACAACCAGAAACAATTAGAAAAAGTGAAAAAAAGTGGTGCCCAAACAATTTTCCCACAAAAATCTCCACCTACCCCCAAAAGATAGGACTATTCCTGCCCATTAGCAACCTGTCTCCCTCCACTCATCTCTCTTTTCCCTCAAATCCCAATGGATTAAGAAGTCCATTTGCAAGTTTATCTCCCACTTCTATTCTTGG